GGAAAATTCAATTGACTTTTATACATAAACTTGTTTTACAAAGTATCATTTCCTCGTAGACCCTTTCGTCGTCACGAATCAAGAACCCACTACTGTACTCTTGCGAACTATCAAGATTCGGGAATTTACAGCTGAGGTATGCATTTAATACGTTAGCTGTAGTGACACACTGACTCCTCGGTTGATTTTGAAATGCCTTTGGCTTTAATCGCTGGGAAACGTTCTGACCAAGTTTAGATCAGTCTACATCGGTACTATATATCGATATTGATGAAACAGAACCAGCAATGAGTTCCCATTCAGGAGGAGAAAAACCCCGAGCTGTTTACTTACTGATGAGCACGGAGGGTGAAAATTTGTCCGACTGCGTAGCAGGCGTCAAAAGGGGTAAGGGGATTAGAAGGAACAGAGGGAGGGAGGGGTGGGTAATTTGATACCATCGGATTAGTAGAGGATTAAAACCGGCAAACTCCCTCAATCTTATGTAATGAAATCATATCACCTTGATAAAATTTTTACGGATATAAAAAGTTGGGAGGAGTTTGAGGGAAAATTAATCTTTCATAATATTACGAGTTAAATTTGTCACCAGTCCAGTTGTCAAGCAAGTCCCAGGGGTAGGGCATATGACAGCAGATCTGCGACGTCAATTGAAATTCCATTTTACTTCAAATCACACACAAAATGACTGAGCCTCGTTAGAAGGTCACTCATCCGGCACGAATCATATCCGGCAGTATATTCAGAGAAAAACAAAGTCTCAGACCAACTTCCTTAGTGGAAGATTCCATCAGTCTACAACATCTGTTATAAGATCTTTTTGTGAGTTTTTTGTTATTTTGTGCAGAGAAATATTAATAACTGTATATTAGATTTAATGTGACCCTTCATATGCTTCATTGGTTTTCAAATTTTCCTGGATGGCTGCATTTTGGGAGCTATTCCTGGGAGCACTTATGTCGCTTTTGTTGACGCAATTTAGTTGATCAAAGTGAAACGGAAAGCTTTTAAATTATAACGGAAGGGAAAATCCGATAGGTTCAACAATTTCTTGATAGAGGGGTTGATTGTTGCTTTATGTAAGTTTTGTACAAGTTCCTGTTATTTGTGAAGGAAAATGCAATCAGTGACTTTTATACTTAAACCTGTCTTACAAAATATGATTTGCTCGTAGATCCTTTGGTCATGACAAATCAGGCGAAGTATCAAGACTATTTGGGAATTTATAACTGAGGTACGCATTGCATAGGCTGACGTTACACTTAAGGTTCCTTTATACGGTGGCTCGTAGCGACAAAACACGTGCCAGAATCCAAAAACACTTCGCCAAAACACTTCCCAGAATCCAAAAGTGTTTTGGATTCTGGGAAGTGTTTTGTCCCTATGAGCCTATGAAATTTGAATTTTCTGAAATGTTTCCGCTGGCCCGGTTTGTAGTTTGTTGACAACAAATTTATTTTTTCAGTGGAAGGTAGATGAATGTATAATGAGTAGATAAACAATTTTTATTATATAAACACCAATGAAATACCAAGTGAGCTTTTGCGCGAAAACTTGATATCTTCACATGTGAAAATAACATGTTATCTTCACATGTGAAAATGTCATCTTTGAGTTAGCCTCATAATAAACCGCACCTTTGAGACCAAAAAACTATTTAAGTGAAATGGTTGGTACTTCATTGGTGTTTATATAATTAATAGAACATGACATGGTTGCTTGGAGATACGAAATTTCTCTTCTCGTGTTGAAAAAAAAAAAATTCACGAGTGAGCGCAGCAAACGAGTGAAATATTTTTCAACACTCGAAGAGAATTTTCCCATCTCCGCGCGGCCATATAATATCCTCTATATATACACCATGTTTAAAGAATGGTAAATCTGTTTCTTTGTTGTTGTTGTTTTTTAATTTCGATCATTATCACCAAACGAATGTTAATATTTTCCTTTTTTCAAGAAGACCCCAGTCCATCAAGTCATATTATCCAACGATGAAAAACACGTAGAAGGATCCCTTTTTGAGGCAAATCAAATGCGACTGTGATAGACAAAAACGAATAGTAAAGGAGCTAATAAATAAGCTTTTACTCCAGCTTTTAATTTTACTTTTCAGACCCTCTTCGTTATCGTACATAAAGAGAAATGGTATCAGCAGAAAAAAAAGCCACAATATGTGGCAGAGCTGAAATAGCAAAGCGAGCAAAAACAAACATGACAACCACAGCTATTAATGGTAATATTGGCGACCCCTTTGTCAACTTTAAAGATTTCCAGCACGCCCTAGGCATCGCCTATTACAGTCTGGGAGATTTCCAGAAAGCCATAGAGTACCATGAACGAAACCTCAAAATTTCGACAGAAGTAGGAGACAAGGCAGGAGAAGGAATAGCGTACGTTAATCTTGGCAACGCCTATCACAGGCTTGAAGATTTCCAGAAAGCCGTTCCATGTTATAAGAACAGTGTTAGAGCCTTCGACCACATTAGGAGAAATCTCATATGTAACGACGAATGGAAGATTACCCTTAAAAGTACGTATGATCATATCAATTTAAGGCTGTGGGAGCTGCAGTTTAAGGAAGGTAAAGTCATTGAGGCACTTTTAACGGCTGATCAAGGACGTGCACAAGCTTTAAATGATCTGGAGTTCAATTATGGCCTTAAAGGATTACGCCCATAGATAGGAACACTTTCTGCAAGACCAAGTGACTTCGCTAGTTACTTACCACCAAATACAGCTTTCATGGGTATCACCGAGGGAGGAATAGTTTTCTGGGTGAACGAGAAAGGAAATGAAATCAAAACTAGAAGAACTGAGATTGATATGTCCGTCACAACCTATTTTCAGTCTCTATTGGAGGCTACACGTAAAGAAATAGGTGGAAGAGCTGATGTTAATTGTGAAGATCGCTGATTAAGTAACCCAAGCGATAAGAAGTTAGCAGAAAAAAGATGAAGTAAGCCAAAGTCTCATCCTTCATATTTTGAGACAAAGTCATCGCAAACATTTTACAATGTTGTCATAGACCCTATAAGAGACTTAACCCAGGGCGATGAGGTGGTGATTGTTCCACAAGGACCTCTGTGTTAGGCGCCGTATGCTGCTTTCATGGACTTGAAATCAAAGTACCTCTGTGAAACGTTTAGAATTCGTCTGCTCCCCTCGCTTTCTAGCCTGTAATTGATCCAAAATTGTTCAGCAGATTGGCACAGCCAGACCGGCGCTCTTCTCGTCGGCGATCCGTGGGTACAGGAGGTAACGCTGCTTGGCTAGGGCAGTTAGAGTGGGCCGAAAAAGAAGTGCAGATGATTGGGGAAATACTTCAAACGGAACCTCTCGTTGGAACGAAGGCAACAAAAGATGAAGTTTTGAGACGTATTTCCTCGGTTGCTTTGGTGCACATTGCTGCTCACGGTAAAATGGAAACAGGAGAAATTGCCTTGGCCCCTAACACAACGCGTTCATCCGTAACTCCAGCTAGGGAGGACTATCTCTTAACTATGAAAGATGTTTTAGATGCGCAGATTAGGGCAAGACTTGTTGTACTTAGCTGTTGTCAGAGTGCTCGGGGAGAAGTCAAATCTGAGGGTGTGGTCGGCATCGCACGAGCTTTTCTGGGTGGGCGATCGACGACGAAGCTACTATGGAGTTCATGAAAGTTTTCTACCAGCAACTAGTTCATGGACGAATTGCCAGTGAGGCCCTGAATAAAGCCATGAAATCCATGAGAGAATCTGACCTCTTTAGCGCAGTGAAGTAGTATTGGTGATGACGTAACGCTCGAGTTTGAAGGCATAGATTAAATAGCAAGGTATTTTGGGATATATTTAAACCTGGGATCATAATCCCTGCATTTGCAATCGTTATTTTAACTAGCAATTATTTGTGTCGTTTTATCGGACAACGAACTCAACCGGTGCTTCGTGTAGCGTCAATCTGCCAATCACAGGTCACGTTGACAGTAAGAAAGGAGACTTTGTTTGGGAGTTAAACACTACAGACTGAATTTATTTCAAGTCTCATGATTTCTTTACATTTCAAAGTGTCCTTGGCCCTGTTTGAGTTCGTTCCATGGTAACGTACAGTGCAACCTGACATATGCCACCACCCAAAATTCGGAGATGAAATTTCCGGTCGCTTAGGAAAGTATCCAGCGGTACTTACCTACATAAGAAAACCGGAATTCCGGTTGGAAAACCAAAATGGTTCGAGCCATTTTTGCTAGCAAATTGTTTTCGCAATTTAGCAAAAAAAATGATTCTGTAATCACAAGAAAATTTTGTGGACACCCACTAGCAAATATCACAAGAGTAGCATGAATGACCAATTTAACAAAATTCTAAACTTAGAGAGAGAAAAGCCCAAGAACTGCCCCGAGAAGTCCGCAAATTTCGCAGAAATCGCAAAAGTAACAAGAATTTTTCTTGCTATGTAAAGAGACTGAGTAACAAATATGGCAAAATAGCAGGAGTAACAAATTTAACAAAATTCTAGACTTAGAATCCTGAGAACTAAAGGGCGCCGAGAAGTCCACAAATTTCGACTGTTAGTCTTGCTATTCTTGCGATATTTGTTACTCAGTCTCTAAAAATGTGGTTCTTTGCTCGAAATGATTTCGAAGTCGCTACCTGAAACCACTATCCTTCTGCTAACTATCTAACGGTGCTTTTGCTGTTTTTGTTGTTGTTCTTGTAAAGGTACGATGAAGAATGCAGTAAACAAGTTCCTAGCTATCTGAAGTGGAAGTCAGTTTAATTTTTGACACAATCATTACCAACCATTACGGTGTTGAGTGTTCCTCTCAAGGATCGCAGGTCTTTATCTCTTGAAGAGAAAGAAAATGATGCTTTTTGTTCCGATTTATTTGTTCTTGTCACATTACAGGTTGTTGTATTTACATAAATGCACAGAAAAAGATGGTGACGGGGAAGCCTGGGGCTTATATAGGGTCCAGGCTCCCCCTAGGTTAGTTTAACTAGACAGTGAGGTATTTTGCCATTTTATAAATGGAAAGGTATAATATTCATTTTCAGTTCAAAATTATGCATCAGATTCTCTCCAAATCTCTGCGTAGTTTTGTCCACTATGAAAGAAGAACATCTAAGCTGATGCACAGCACGTGAATCGTGACATTCTCTGTAATGAAAGACACGCGCCACTTCCCAATTAACTTTATCGGCCTCGTAGAACTCTTCGATGGGTTTGCTAATGTGATATATTCCTTGCTCGAAAATTCTCCGCGGATCTACGATGCACTTGGTGTAATATGAAGTCACTTCACGTGTTCGGTAGAAAACGCGTTGTGTAATTAAATGTGATCCGTTTTGGTCTGTTGAAGGATCCAAAAGGACGCTTTCAAACCAGTGTCCACAATGGTTTTCCTTATGAATGTACCTAACAATGCGGTTATGTTCTCATGGCGAACGGGTACAATGAATTCATCCAAGTCATGAAGCGCAACAAAGTCGAAATGTCGCATAGAGCGAAACAAACACTCCCAGATGGCCAATGGTTGACCAAAATAGTACAAATCGTTTTTTCCAGTGTACAAGGGTAAATTCCATGGGAAGACACTCACTAAACCTAGATCTTGATAATAATTCAAGACGTTTCGCACACTCTCAGACATTGATAAATCGTAAAATGTAAAATGTGAAGCGCCCAAAATCTGCGTGAGTTCTAAAAACTCAATAATGTTTCCAACAGAGATTTCACCGTGAACAGGAGGGATACAAATGCCATATTTCTTTTGAATTCTGCCTTTCTCATCACCGATAGAACGAACTGGAAAGACTATGCATTACTCTCGCTACGTTCCGCTAATGTTGCGGAAATGTTCACAAAGTATGGAACATTGTCAAGACGTTGTGGAAGAACACAGGAAGCTATAAAGTATGCAAAGCGCCGTTGGTAACTTTCGTTGTGCTTAAAGAACGAGGCTTCAACGGCAAAAGTTTCCTGTTTTGATGCACTTTTAAATAGGCAAGTTAGCGACGGAACTGTTTTTTTCAAGGACAGCAACAAAATTCGCATAAAATGCTGCGATTTTCGATCGTCAAACCACACCGAGTACACCAACGCCTCTTTGACAATCTCGCGAAATCTTGGCTTTTCTACAATTTTAGGACAATCGTACTTCTGTTTTTTAGCCTTCCCTTGCGCGGTATCTGAAACCGTGTTGTTCACCTTTCTGTTGTTATAGCTAAGAGGTAAATGTTTCCCGCCGAAGTCACTGCTTCGACTCGATTTATCCTTTACATGTTCATAGCCTGTAATTCCAATGGATGGCCCTTCCAGGCGCAACTGTTTCTCAGCACCAAAATTTGTACGGTCGCGGTCACTATTTCGGTTTGAGTTATCCTCATAATGTTCATTACTTGTCCGAATTCCTGTTAAGATTCAACTTGAACATCTGTGACGGCCACAAGTTTCTTAAACGCAACTTGAACTTTAATTTCTACCAGAAACTTAAGAGAACTCCGTTACAGATCGGTTCACGACAAAAGAGCGCACACTGGTATGTTGAAACTGCTTATATAACCCGAAGACAAAAAACCTGTTTATTCAGTTCTTATCTTGTCATAGAAAGTTCTAGAAAACATTACGTCATATCCTAGTTGGGTCCTTAACATGAACAAATAGTCATAACAAAGTACTCAGCGTAAACGTGTCTGTTCTTTTGCGAATGTTTCTTCCTCAACACTCCTTCTCACTCGCAGGTGGAACAAGACGGCATCTCATCCAATCCAGACATCTTTCGTAATTTCCTGAGCTGTTCACGACCCAGGCAGTAGCTCAGCCCCACATTTCCATTCTCCACCTGTTCCCTGATGAAATGGTACTTGATTCCAATGTGTTTTGCGCTCCCGTGAAATTAATGGGTTCTTGGCTAAGCAAATCGCTGATTGGTTGTCTTCATAGATCCTTGTTGCTTCTTCTGGGTTGCTTCTTTTAATCAGTAAGAAGTTGTCGCACCCAGACTGCTTCTTGCGCTGCACTTGCTAAGGCTATGTATTTGGCTTCCGCAGACGAGAGAGCAACACACGCCTGTTTCTTACTTCTCCAGCTGATTGCTGCACCACTTAGCTGAAATATGTATCCGGAAGTTGGTTTGCGATCATCTACGTCTCCTGCCCAGTGAGCATCCGAAAATCCTACACAACTCTTTAACTCATTCTTCTTATAGAGAAGTCCTAAGTACATTGTTCCAACCAAATAGCGCATGATACGTTTGACTGCAATCCAGTGTTCCTTGGCAAGGTTTGCAAAAAACTTGGCCACATTACTCACTGCATACGTAATATCGGATCGTGTCGTAGTTGACAGGTACAGAAGACTTCCAACCGCTGATTGAAACTGCTCTCCGTCAGTGCTTTCTGAGTCTTCGTTCATCTTAACACGTTTTGGGCTAGCGTCTACTGGGGTATCAACTGCCTTAGCATTCTCCATGTTAAATTTGCGCAGGACCTTTTGGGTGTGGGCTGCTTGTCCAATCCAAACGTCTCCATTTTGTTTGTTCTGCAACACTTTGGTTCCCAGAAAATGGTGCAGTTCTCCCATGTCCTTCACTTCAAACTTATCACCGAGAGCTTTCTTTACGTCCCCGATGCGCTGTCGCTTTTTGCAGCTAGCACTAAATCGTCCACATGAGCGGCAATCATGAACATCTCTCCTTCTGAGGCTACATAGATGCACGGGTCACTAACCGATTGAACAAAACCAAGCTTCTTTAAGTGCTGATCCAGCACTTGAGTTCCAGCATCTTGATGATTGTTTTAAACCATAGATACTACGTTTCAACTTGTAGACCAAATGCTCTTGACCCTTAACAACAAAACCCTCTGGCTGTTTCATATACACCTCGTGTTTTAAATCACCATTAAGCTTCAAATCAGTTTGCACCGCCAACGCAATCACTGTTCTGACTGATTCAAATCTGGCGACAAGGGAAAATGTCTCATCATAATCAATTCCAGGTTTCTGAGAAAAACCCTGGGCTACAAGCCGTGCTTTGAAACGTTCCACAGATCCCTCGGCATCTGTTTTGATCTTTAATACCCACTTGCTTCCAACAACTTTTCGCCCCTTTGGCAAATCCGCCAGCTCCCAAACATCATTCTTTCGGAGGGACTCAATTTCCTTCTCCATTGCACTCATCTACTTCGCCTTCTCCGGGCTACTCAGTGCATCATTAACGGTCGTTGGCTCAGTTAACTCAGCATTTGTGATACTTGCCCAGTCTCCATAGTAATCAGGTGCTCTCTTCTCCCGGTTTGATCTTCACAACACTGGTCCTGCTCCCTCTTCAGTTCTGTGTTCTTTATCAGCTACATGTTCCTCATCATCGTGAAAGTCCAATTCCACACACCGCTCACTGTTTCTTTCTGGGACACTTTGCTCCTTCTCGATCCCGCGGCTTGATTCATCGAACACGGCATCCCGGCTATAAAAGATTCTTTCGCGCCTTAGATCATACAGTCGGTAACCCTTTCTCTCAGTACCATAGCCTAGAAGTACACACTTCCTTGATTTTGCACTCAGTTTCTGACGGTCATTCTTAGCTACATGAGCATACACAGCACATCCGAAAACTCTAAGGTGTCCCTCATTTGGTTTCTGTCCTGTCCAGGCTTCAAAAGGTGTCTTCACTTCCGGTATAGTTGTCGGACTTCGATTTCGCAAGTACACGGCTGTTGACAGTGTTTCAGCCCAGAAACGATGTGTAAATTGTAAATTGTAAATATCGTATTATCCACTCCCCACAGGGCTTTTCAGGGATGATTTACAACACTGGTTGGGGGACTTTGCCAGACTGCTTAAGGTGCAGTTTACAAGCACTGAAGGAATGAGTGATGATGCCCCCATACATGAGTGTGAAAGTGAGATAGACCACTAGCATCAGCCAGCATCAGCATCAGCCAGCATCAGCCAGCATCAGCCAGCATCAGCCAGCATGGATCGCACCGCTTCAGCTAGTGTTCTGTTCATCCTTTCAGCAACACCATTCTTCTCCGGAGTTTTTGGTACAGTCAGCTCATGTCGAACTCCTTCTTTCTTCAAGCACTTTTCAAAATCTGCTGAGACATACTCGCCACCATTGTCGGTGCGCAGAATTTTCAGCTTTCTGCCTGTAGACCTTTCCACTTGAGCTTTCCACTCTAGAAAACATGGGAAGACTTCATCCTTGTGATTCAGGACATATATCCAGGTGAAGCGGGTATTGTCATCAATAAATGTAAGAAAGTATTCTCCACCGCTCAGGGACGTTGCATTCATCTTACCACACACATCACTATGCACCAACCCCAGGGGTTCACTTGATCGGTTGCCTCCGTCAACTGGGAACCTACTTCTGTGGTGTTTTCCTTCCACGCACGACTCGCAGAAAGTGGTTTCTCTTGATGCATTGAAATCAAAGTCATCAACCAGTTTTTCCTTGGCCAACTTTTGCAGGTTCCGTACTCCAAGGTGGCCATATCGCCGATGCCAAGTATCTTCCTTTGTTTCTTTGCTCTTGTTAACAGCAGCATTGGTTTGTTCATTATGAGCCTGACAGTTCAGGTGGTACAAGCTTTCCACCCTAGTAGCAACAGCCATCACCTTCTTGTTTGAGTCCAATATTTCACACCCAGTCTCAGTGAACTTAACAACCTTTCCAGCTTTTGCCGCCTTTGACACGCTCAACAGGTTGTACGACAGATCAGGCACGCACAGAACTTCATGCAGCTCATGCAGCTGAACGTTTTTGCGTTTAGAGGTTTTTCTTTCATGATAGCCACAAAAAACAAGGAAGGAGTTTGAGCAAATCGGGCAGCAAAATACAAAAAATATGTGGCGGGAAAATGAACTCGCGCACGCGCACCTTTGGCGCGGAAGTACACAAATCGAATATTAGAGTCACAAGATGGCACAACAAGTATAAAATATTAAATTGTATTGAAAGACACAACTTTTGTTTAAGCGATTTGCTTACCAATTCCAATCGTACTACATTACAGTCTTATAAAGTAGAGGAACGAACTTTTGGGACACCCTGTATTGATTGCCGTCCGCCGTCCGGCGCCCCGCCGTCCCACCCTAAACAATACCGATAATGTGTTTTTAGTATCTCACGAAAATCTTAAACAAAAACGGTGCTTGTATGACAACAAGCATTTTTCAAGAACTGTCGGCATGCCCAAACTTGCTAGCAATCTGATTAGAGGAATAAGGCTTCCAAGAGTGCACTGAAACCTCGTGGCGTTCAGAAAAAACCGAAGGCAAAGGCGAGCCCTAAGGAAAGTCACCGTGATGTAGCCAATAAAAGCGAGAAGCCGATCAACTCACAAGAATTCCCACCAAACCATGAGATCAATATCAACATCATCAAGGTACTACAACAACTTAAAGTCAATGGCTCCATCCTGATCTGAGTGGCTTCGCGTCTTCTCGCCAGTACGTCCAGGGTCTGGGAACTCCTGCCTTTCCTCAGGCGTATACCCAATAAGAAAAGCAATGTCGCCGGTATATTAACATTTAGTATCTGCTATGAAATTACTATTTTTAACACCTACATCTGATATACAGAACTACTTACCTAACCTCCCCTTGTTTGGGCCTCATTGTGCGGTATTGAGCGGTGCAAGGGTTTTTCCCGCTGTTTTCTATATTTCTCTATAGTTGTTGTTGTTGCTGTTCTTTTTTTTGGGGGGTACTGATCAGTGTTTCCTTATCAGTTACGCGTTACGTTTATTGGTTATTACCTCCATTGTTTTCCCCAATCCCTTTCATAAATTAGCGTTTTCTCCCTTTTTTTTTTTCCTCTTAGTTTGTTAGTGTTTTTGTTTGTTTGTTTGTTTGTTTGTTTGTTTTTTTTTTGTTCTTTTTTCACTTCATTGGAGATATTTTATCAAAAAGGTACTTAAAATTCGCCTCCTTTAACGTTGAAGGCTTACGCAACAAACTGGATGATATTAACTTCAAAAACGAAATATCTAAGTTTGACTTTATTACATTGGTAGAAACCTGGTTGCCAGCTGATGAGCAAGTAAATT